TTTAGATATCATCAGAGAATCCTGGGGAATAAGGAAGTCTGGAAAGAACCAGAAGCAGTGTCAAGCTCCCTTCATTCAGACTGGCATAGAAGCATGCAGCACCACAGAATGTTCTCTCCCATTCATCTTCTCCTCTAAGCAGCGGGAAAGGCTGTAGGAGCAAGAAGCCCATCTTGATCCTTATGTAGAACTCCTTAAGCTTTCAAGAAGACGTTGTGGGGGGAAAAATGAGGTTTGTCTACTGCAGGTTGCTCTAGAGACACATATTCAGGAGGTCAAGCACTAAGCTGTTAGCACAAAGTCAAAGGGGTCGGTGCTCAGCTGGGGGCTCAGTTTATTTCTCTATGATAAAGTTCTTCCAGAATTCAGCGGTACAGCAGGTGCCCATACTTCTCTCTGAGCTCTGAGCTCTTAGAATATGAGCTCACTGCAACTGCTGAGCTTGCCTAGCCCCTAACCTTATTAGGCAACTGGCAAAGAATAATCTGTAAGCGTTCACACCAGCTCAGCCTCAGACAAAACGCTCAAGCGGCAGGGAGGTACCATCTATTGTCAGGTCAGGATTAATCATTTGGCTCCAGGCATTCTGGGTAAGGTATGTTCTCACTCCTTGTTTCTAGCATTTTGCCAGCCTAAGGGGTGATAAGATGGAAGAGCAAACTCTCTTATCACTTCCTGCAGGGGCAAGAAATCATATTACTTTACATGACCATTAAATTATTTTAATGTTTTTCTTCCTAAAGTCCTTAACATCTATTCTACAATTTGTAATGACACTTGAAAGCATTGCCATATGAATTCTAGGTAGGACAGCTGTGATCCCCATCTTACAGATAAAAAAGTGACTTGGTCTTAGGCAAGTCAGCGACCTTGACAGGCTGGTGCTCTTTCTGATACATTCTATTCCTTCCCTGAGTTTGAACCACCTCATTTTCTGACAAACATCTAAGAGGTCCTTTAAAATGTAGGCATCTCTGGGGTTGTGCTGGTAGTTTCCTTGTAAACATCTTTGGCAGAAACATTTTTGCCACACGACTTATTGGCCATAAGGCAATTTTGCCATAAAAGAGAAAATAACCGGTCGACAGTTTGGTTTACATTGGGCAGACTTCATGTATTTAGGCTAGTTGTCAGTTTGGTTTCATAGATGAAATTCTTCAATACTTTCTTTTTATATTATATAAATCTCAGCCTTCCTAATGGTCTGTACAGTGAAGAGTGGATGTGGTGGTCTTAAAATAGTAGATAATAAAAATTACAGATAAAGCAGATTGCAAGCTCCATGTAACACCACATTGTACTCTACTAGAAAATGATCACATAGCAGTTTGCAAATCTTTCAGTGAGCACAGGCAGGCCTCCACCTATCAAAACCAAGTTTACCAAGCTATACAAATATAAAAGTGGCGGCTGCTAATTCACAAGTCTTTGAGAACATTAATTATAGATATTTTAGTTGGAAATTGATATTTCTCTTAATGAAGGAAGAAGAAATTTTGGCCCAAAAAAGTGCCATGCCTAACAAGGAGACCAATCAACAAGCCAAA